AGGTTGTTTAAAAAGATTACTAGTAGAATTTGTATAACTTTATTTTCTTTTGATAGTGGCTTTTGAGATTGATTTTGTTGGTAGTAATTTTAAATATTTAGTCACCTTTATTAAACATTGAAGACCCTTTGAAGTCTTATTTTGGTTCTTTAATTTGGTATTTAAGAAATATATTATGTAAATCTTGTAAAGAAAAGAGTTGAAGAGAGATTTTGGTAATAAAAAGAGAATTTAGGAAATCCATATAGATGAATGGACATGGATGATAAAAATCTTCATTCCTATTGGTCAAAAATCATGATCAATGGGCTTTGAAGAGGTTGCGTGAGGCCATATTAGAGATTAGGATTAGTTTTTTGGACCCATTCAAACTTTTGAAGACTAGGATTAGAGTGATCAGGTTATTGGCTATGATTTTGGTACAAATCCTATATGATTTGGAGTTTATATGAAGGAGATATAGGTGCTCAAAGTTAAGGTGTTGATTTGGGAGCTATTGTTACTATTTTTGACATAACACACACGTATAGAAGACAATTGAGGATTGGCAACCATGACTACAGAGAGCACTTTTGCAGCTAGACGTTTTGCATATTGTTTGATAGATTCCAAGTTGAAATAAAAGAGATACTCGATTTTGAAGTCAATGCATGGAATCTAAAGGTAGTATGTGACCCAATTTACTAGTGGTTGTATCTTGAGCTATATCTTAAGCAATTTGATAAGGTTTTGGCTCAAAGTTTAAAAAAATGTGTATATTCATGTTAGTAAACTTTTTACATTAGTTTGATGGCATTTGAGTATTGAGTTCTTAAGATATTAAGAAAATAGTGTTCAGGTACTTATAAATTAGGATTTAGAGTATCTGCTAGGATTTCTTACATGCCAGAAGTTCGGGAGTGAATTTGTAGTTGGTTTGTTTTTTGGTAAAACTTAAGGATGAATTCTACCTATTCTATAAATTTAAAACAAATTGAATGGTTAGATCAAGAGTTATGAATTTGTAAAGTTTGGGAGGATAAAATCCTTTGGGAGAAAAATATGTTTTGAAGGGATTTTGCTATATTTTGAATTTTATACAAAATAAACGAGTTTTGGAAGCTAAGAAAAGATATATATAAAAGTTTAAGCTAAACTGTCTACAATTAGATATCGAATGTATTCCCAGATAGTAAATCATATGATACAACAACAGTCCTTATTGTAGCTAGAAAAACTCGTTTTTTCACACATTGTCTTTTTTAGCAACCATGCTTCTCATTTTGTAGTTGTATTGTTTCTTTGGACAATATTGAGTAATTTATTTAGCTTGAAATAAGACTAAGGACTAGAAAGGCATTGACAAGAGTGAAAAAGGCTTCACTCTTGCCTCTATATATACTTTTAACTAGGAGCTATATGGCAATGTCTTATATGACCTCCAAAATATGTTGACTTTGCTACCATATGTCTTAACTTGTAAGACAAGTTATCTATGTATGCACTACGTAATTAGCTTGTTCCACAAGCTACTATACAGAGTTAACTTGTTTCATAGGCTACCAACTCATGGTTAACTTGTTGACTAAGTTTCCAACCTAGAAATACATCTAAATCAAAATCGTGTCTATAAAGCTTCTAGGAAGCTTCAATAAAAGACTTTATGAAATTAATCTATATTTACCTACTTCTACCTAAAAATATAAGTAATTATTGATGTAATTGTATATGTCCATGATATCTATTCCATATTGTAAGCTAGGTTTTGGAATTCATTAGCATATATGATAGCTGACCTTGATCTTTGCCGCAAAGATAAGAGCTTGGTCTTTGTTATTATTTCTTAATCACTTTCTTCAAATATGGCTGTAAATACTTCTAGGAATAAATTCAAATCATATTGGAGTCGTGAATTCTTTTCTATTAAAGGTGCAAACTAAGAGAGAACACTTCTTGATAGAAATGCGTCTATGAATCTGACTAGAGTAAATGCATCAAGATATTGGAAGAGATTTAACGTTAGATAGAGCTTGACTTATTGCAAAAATACTTGAAATTTTGATCTTGTTCTATCAAACTTCTCATTCATACTAATCATTGTCTCTATCATATATATAGAAGAAAAATTTCCTAAATTTGGTTGTGAGGTTGATCTACTTGCTTCCTTCAATTGCATAACTTTTTGCAACAAACTTTGAACTTTTTCCATAGGCATAGAAATAGTACTTCTATGATTCATATTGGAAATGCGTAAGATTTTTACTCTTAAAGTATTGACAAATTCATGAAGATTTGAAATAGTTACAAATCTATTTTCACTTCTACTAAGAATAGCATCCATAATCTTTCCTTCTATAGACAACTCAAATAAGTTCAAAAAGTTAAAATTGAGGAAGATAATCTGCAACCTCTAATATCAAATGAAAATTTTCACAAAGAGGAATAAACTACTCTCTTTAAAGAAAAGATCAGTATTAAAAAATAAGATTGTTTGTTTTAAGGTGGATAGTCTATAATCTTCAAAACTCAACAATAGAAGTGGAGTAAGCCACTCACTTCTAAAATAAGATAGAAACAATAAATTAGCACTCTTCTCAAATTATTAGGGACATGAATCTTGAAGAAAGAAATCCTCAATACACTCTTATAATATTGAAATGAACTAGAAAGTCACTCAAAGATGATATAATATTGAACTAGAATGACTATTGTTAAAAACAACAAGACTAGAAAGTCTTGAAACAAGACTTAGCACTAGAAAGGCATTGACAAAAGTGAAGAAGACTTCACTATTGCTTCTATTTATACTCTTAACTAGGAGCTATGTCACAATATCCTTTGAGACCTCTAAAACATGTTGACTTTGCAAGACATATAACTTAACTTACAAGGCAAGTTTTTTATATGTACGCCATATATTTAGCTTATTTTGCGAGCTATTGATATGTGGTTAATTTTTTGACGAAGTTTCTAACCTACTAATGAATTACAAACACATGTAAAGTCAAAGCAATATCTATAAACCTTCTAAGAAGCTTCTCTAAAAGGTATTATGAAATTAACATACTTTTATCTATTTTTACCTACTTCTACCTAATCATATAAGTATTTATTACAGTACTTATGTATATCCATGACAATTCATCATCTATAAGCAAAGAGAGGTGAAGATGCTTATAACACCCTTGAAGAAGATTCAACAACAATGACATTCATATGTACGGAGATGTTGTGGAGCCTTTTCATTGTTATCTCCATGCTAGACATTGGAGATATAGGTAAGTACATTATCCACAAGATTCTTTGTGACATTCAACAGAAGTTGTATATAGAAGGCATCCAACAAAGCATGCACAATTCCTAGCTAAGCTAGATTTCCTACAATTACTTCCGTCTACAAAGTTATATTCTTCTATCAAGGCCATAATTAATACCTTATGAGAATTATAACTGAAATGCCATAGAGCCAAGTCGTTTTCTTCATTTTTTTTATACTTTATCTAGAGTTATATGTTAGTAGAGGTAATATTACAATGTCCTTGTATTTTGGTGTAGCATGCATGTATACAATGTCCTTGGATTTTGGTGTAGAGATAATTTCTCCAACAACTCAGTACTATTTGACACACATGTACCAAAGAAGTCATAGTACTATTTAATAGAAACAATAATTAAATTTAGCAGTTTTTGGGAGGATCGAAAACCGGTCTCCTTCAAAGAAGCAGCAAAGAATAAGACACTTTGTGTGTACCCACGTCAATTAGGGTTTGAGTCCTGAAGCCCCAAAACTTAGGGTTTTGAGCGCGCGTGTGTGGTCTATCGCATCAAACATCCTGCGATCGCGTAAGTACAAGGTCTAAGGAAATGGACCGCTCAAGCTTCTGTACAGCCCATGTGAACAACGACATATCTTACTGCGCGTCGCAGGGTGGAAGCTCTTGTGCTTCACATGTACGATTTGAATGAATCTGCTCAGAATCTGAAGTTGGTCGTGAATTTGTAGTTGCGACCACGTCGGTTGTGAGAGCATGGCGACTGAAATCGAGGCTGCATCGGGCACACCGAAAGTAGGATTTTCTCCTACCACCGCACAAGGGATTGAGTGAGACAGAGTGGAGTGCTCATGAGTTTTTACCGAAACTGCCAACACCGAAGTGCGATCTCGTCGTGTGGCCACAACACCGGAGCTTGAATCGGCAAACTTGAAGAAGGTTCCTGGGGGGAAGAACCCCTGGATCTTCCTTCAGTGTTGCCGTTTATTCTTCGCTGCATGAAATGATAAGCCTCTGGCGCGCTGGAGCAGTAGAAGAATGCCTGATAGACACTGACCAGGAATGACTTAATGAAGAGGTGTTCCTGTAAAGGCCAGAAATGTGATGCTTTATCAATTAATCATGAAAAGGAGAAAAGCAGAAAGAAATGTTACACCTTTCTTTGCTTGCAATGTGCGAGCAAGCATCGATGGTTCAATTGCCGTACAATTTTTTTAAGCTTCTTTGAATTTTTGGAAAAATTCTGATGCATGTCAAGCTTTTGGCTTGACGAATGTGTGGTTTACACATCAACTTTCAAGGTATGCCCACAAGGTTGCAACCCCGGGGTAGGACAAATAACTATGATGGGCCAATATTATCATAAGCTTTTTGTTCACTGTCAACTTTGTTGTTGACAGAAGTGGTGGGTCAGCCGATGCCACAGAGCAATCACAGACCAGTCTGCAGCATCGATTCTTTGCGCTCCATTTTATTGTTATTTATTTGTGGTCTATGAGTGACTAGGGTGCAGAAGGAGATCGCTGTCGTACCCCCCAGAAGTTGACAAGTTGGCCTCGTCATCTCATCACGTCGCATTTTTTTTGCAGTGAAGAAAACAGTGCCAGCTCTGTGAAACTAATTGTGGGACATCGATTGACATGGCTGGGGAAAAACAAGCGCCTTTGGATCCTGCCAGCTTTACGGAGGACACTGATAATTTTTATTAGTTTAGGTGCGGTCTCGGCTTATATCGACGGTGAGATTTTGTATTACTTGCGGCGTTGTCCAACAGCTTTTTTAGAGAGAGCGCGTCTGAAATCCATTACACCTCGAACCGTTTGTCACGATGTCTCACATCGAGGGATGGTGCACCTCCAGGGGTCCCGAGTTGAATCAATAGGGTTCTGCCATTTCTGCTGCTTTTGAGCTGACTCTTCGAACCAGATAGTGAAGATGTTTCTTACGATGTAAAATTCATTGTACAGTCTGGGATCGATCGAAGTGGAAGCCATTGGGTTGCTATCCAGACGGTCCTGTAGCTGTAAGAGCTTGACTCTTCATTGCGTCATTACAACAATTGCTTTCATCGCGAGCCGGGCTGTCCTGTTTCAGTCTATTTCACAGCTCGAAGAATAAGTTCACTTAGAGGCTTCAATTCTTCGAAGTCCATTTCTATGTCAAGCTTTGATTGGTCAGTCTGTGATCTCCATGACTCCTCCTCAACACATTGTACATCCATGGCTCATGTTGCTTTGATGGTTCATGACCAATCGAGATTTGTGTGCAGTGAAAGGGCGTAGAGATTTTAAAACGGGTGTACAGTTTCCTCAAGTTTATGTTGTGGATGAGGTACGCACTTACCTGCCTTCGGAGCAATACCTACCAGACAAGTGCGTGAGTGGTTTGTTTGCACATTCGCAAGTCCACTACTTTTGACTCTTCTCGGGGAAATAGACATGATACATGCTTGCGCATTGGAAGTGCACAGCTTGTCTCTCTTCCAGCACATGACTGATTGAGAACAAAGGCATCTCTTGGCTTGGAGCTTTAAGCTGAAGAGCGACTGTAGGGTATGCAGTGTGAATGACTTGCTTCAGTTGACGTTACCTCGAAAGCATTGTTGTGGTAGATATTCCAGGTATGGATATCGAATTGGACGACATACTCCACTGGCAGATGCCCTTGTGCACGCTACTAGCCGATATTGAGATCCCTGAGGGCAACATTGATGGCATGCTGAGCATCGAGCTTCCAGAGATCTCTGATCCCGTCGCAGTCGAAACCGCATCCAGTCTCCCGAACTCCTTATCTGCTTCTGATAAACGAACTTCAAGTCCTTTATGGCCTTGTGATCTTCCTCCTTCAGTGTCAAACTCCAAAGACATTCATCTAGCCGCCCATCCTCCCGCAAATCTGTTTGCTTCGAACTGCGCTCTAGTGGGATCGTCGCAGTCCTCGTCTGCACCACTAGCTGGGGTAAACTCGTTAACGGGATCTCACGAGGTAGAACCAGTTACTCCACCAGCTGCAAAGCGTAAAAGGACCCGTGGATCGAGAGCGTCGACGAAGAGAAGCACGAAAGTGAAGCCAAAACCTGAAGCTGTGGTGGTTGAACTTTCCAAGGAGGCTCGATTGCCAACTCAAGCCGAGCACATCATCCGGGAGCGCCAGCGTCGGGATGACATGGCTGCTAAGTACCTAATTCTGGAGTCTTTACTTCCTCCTGCTGCCAAAGTAATCACCTCACCTAAGTTTTGTTGGCACAAAATTAGATTTAGCCTTGAAATCACCTGTAGAATTGTGTGTATCAGTTCTCGCATTAGTGCATAGCAATCAACTAACAAGGTCTCACGATGGGGGGTTGTAATCTCAGCGAGAAAGGGCCGTGGTAGTTGAGGACGCAATATCATTTGTGAAAAGCCTGCAACATAAGAGGACCGAGCTCCTGAAGCGCCGAGTCAAATTGAAAGTAGCAGCGCAACACCAATCTTGTAATGGTCAATCTATAAGCTGTTGTCAAAACAAGAAATTAATGGTCTCCCGTGAGCCTCCTGGGTTTCTTACCGCATCGTGCGTAAAGAAATCTGCGGAGAATCGTAGGACGGACTCCCCAATATCCTCGTCAATCAAGGTTCAAGATATCATGATAAAACCAAACTCTAGCACTGCAGGGGATTTGAATACTACTGTTAAGCCGCTCCAGATCCAAGTGCATTTCTCCGAGGAGGAGGTTGTCGTGGAAATGGTGTGTAGCCACCAGCGTCCTAATTTTCAGAGCTTTGTGCTGCAAGCAGTTGAATCGTTTGGTTTGGACGTGACGAGATACAGCATCCAGAGATTGACGCACGGAGTTGTGCATTGCATTATTACTTGCAATAAGGTGCTTTCCATGACTTTATTGAGGAGCAGTGAAATGCGTTTTCTGGCTTACCTTCAGCTGAAGAGAGCAACCTTTGAGATTCGAATCCAGATCATCTATCAATAACCTAATACTAGGTTACATATTGGACCACGTATCAATCTATCATGTCCTCAAATTAGGAATGGTTTGAGTGGGGAGATATTGTACTTGTTTTGTTCAGAAATCAGATGCTTCGCTCTAATATATTCTATGTTATCTGCCATTGCAGTCACAACTTCCATGGCTGGCGTTGGAGATACAAACATCGGCAAGCTTGATAGGAGATTTGAGAAGAGTTCTGATGCATGGTTGATGCTTAAGAAAGGTGCGAGCCACCTCGGACAACTCTTACTGCACACTACATAATCCTGTTAGCAGGACTATCTAAGTCGTAAGGACGGCTACTCCAAACCCAAATCGACGCTGAGATGACGGAAGCCTCAGAAACCATCTTTAGTTCCCCAGGTCTCTTCCGCAGCCTTCGATGCACAGCTTTTTTGATCGAGTGAAACGATAGGAGTTCCACGATGTCGAAGTTACATGCAGCGACTCGCCTACTTATTGAGAACGGACGTTTGATTACTTATCTGATCGACAGTGTCCTGGTGAGAGATACTTTGAGTTTTGCCTCTGAGGTAATACTCAGAAGAATTTTTGAAAGGGCTCCATCTCTTCGGAAGTGGATTCCAATTCGAAATCAATAAGAAGGTGAAATCCACTGTGTCGAAATTGTCGTATCGCATCATGCAATCCTGTTTCATTGTAATAAAGTCAATCTTGCCAGTTATGATGTTTAGGAAGTTTAGTAATAAATGAGCAGAGCAATGAACGCTGATATCACATCATGGCACAGTAGCGAAGATCATCAGAACGACTGACAGTCGTCAAAATCCCTGCAACCAGATGACAAATCCAGCAGCCCCTGGAACAGGGTGAAATATTTCACTCTATCATCGTTGATATCAAGCCTTTATCAAAGAACAATCTCACATCCCGTTCGCACTGCAACAGTTACATGTATATATATACATATCCACACATAAAAATAAAAATAAACATATATGCGTGCTCCATGAGCTCCGTTAGACTGCAATATTTACAAAAATGATACGAACCTGTTGTAAACTCAGCTGCATTTGTTACAGTTCTGACACACACTCCAACAGGAGTTGGCCAGCGCTCCGCATTTGCCCTCTCAATTCCAAAGTATGCTGCCAGCATGGATGCCTGAAGCCTAAGTGGACCCCTGGAGCCTACGTGGATCCCTGCCATGCTGGACTCCCCAGTTTAGGGCCAGTAATGATTCCTCCCAGTAATTGCCAGATGGATAACGCATGCTACGACGAGAATCTTCATGTTATCATTGGGAGGGCAAAAGCTTGATTCTGATTCTCATTCTGACAAGGTTGTTGTGTCAATACTTTTGTTAGTGTTGAGAATGTTTCAGACATAAGAGCATCTAGAAGTAATGTACACACAAAACACACACACACACAAGAGAGTATATAGAAGGAGAGAGAGTTTCTAAACAAAACTATGTATTGATGTGATTGTCTCACTTGTATACAAAGAGGAGGAGAAGATAAGCAGTTTCTCCTCACTACATTCTAAACACTGTAGCTACAATAATTAGTGTAACTACAGTGAATGTCATGGAGAGAGCCAGCTACATTTAATGCTCTCAATAATTAGGACTTGAGCTGATGTAACCAAAACTATGTGTGCTATATAAAATACTCATGATGAGGACTTTTCTTTTAAAAGATTAGAATAAGATAAAATAATATTATTTTTTGTGGTAATTAAAAATTAAACCCTTTCTTATATCAATGTATTCAACCGTTTTGCCTTCAATTAATAGAAATTGAAAGCTTGGATGTAAACAAAATTATAGATTTTGTGGTTGAAAATTACAATTTTTTATCCATAGATATATTATAAAATTATAAGTTTTATTTTTTGATCTATTATATCACTTTAGAAAGAATATGTATATATATATATATATAGAAATAAAATTATTATTTAATAATATTTAAAAATATTCTATTTAGAATATATATATATATATATATTTTGATTTTAAAGATTATAAAAAGTATATAACTTTAAAAGCATAATATTATTATTATTTTTTAATATTATAATTACATCATAAATTAAATAATAATAATAATAATAAGTTATAAAATAAGTGGTTAATAAATGTAACATGTGTCTAATTTATTGGCCAAGTTTTAACCTATCAATTGCTTATAAACACTTGTAAAATCAAATCCTTATCTATGAAGCTTTTAAAAAACTTCTTATCAAGATATTATCAAATTAATCTACTTTTACATGCTTTTGCTTAATTCTTTTTATCATCTTAATTATTGATCTCAATATTGATATTTGTGACATCATCCCCCTTTTTAGAGATGAGTTCTACATGGAATAGTAATTATATATTAAAGAAGTTTAAGATGCAACAAATTGTATTTGCTATATATATTTTTTCTTTGTTTTCTTTGAAGGTAGTTGATAGGTCCACTCAACCATTGATAACATTTCATACTAAGGCAAAAATACCACCTTTTGATTTGATGATTATAAAGGCTTTTATAACTTCTTTCAAATAAAATATTAGGAATGCTATTAAGAATAATTTCTACTTTTAATAATATTACCAAATATCAAGAATCTCTTCCAAGGTTGTGATATCAAATATGTTGTATGTAACCATTTAGTTAAAAAAAATATATTAATTTTGAAGATCTTCATTTCTATTATATGATTTTAATAGCTTGTTTGATAATTCAATAAATAATAAATCTTCAGTTGTATATGTTGATTATTGATTCTACATTATAAATAACAAAAAATCACAAATAAAGAAAGAAGATAATATAATTTTTTTATTGAACTTACTTTTTTTATGACAAAGATATTTTAATTTTTCATCTTAGTTTTGATGGATTTTCTTAATGAAAAGTACCAATTCTATTTGATATATTTGAAAGATTCCTTGATAGTTCTTATGTGTATTTATCAATATCATATCTATATCAATGTACAGATATCCAACCTATTTTGGTATCATTTTGAATCTTAGATCTTTGCACTTCAACTCTTGATTGTTGTCTACTTCTATGGAAGAAAGTAGCAACAATGTTCTTTTTGATATATCTGTTGTATTAAATGGCTCAAAAAATATATATATAAAAATTAAGATGGATTTTTATAGATTTTGATAGATATAATCAATATTCAATTGAGTTGATTTATTTGCAAATTGAGAATGGTCAAAATCTATTACAATCCAATTTATCATAGCAGTAAGTAATTTTAATATTACAACAAAATAACCATACATTATTGCCAATATAGAAGTGAGGTTGTTCTTTGTTATAGAAATTTATATTAATCAATTTTTTTCTAAAATTTCTTTAATTATGCCTTTTTCATCATACATAGCTTTCATAATTTATTTTTAAAAATATTTTTGTTTATAAATATATTAACTTTCAAAAAATTTAGATGTAAATTGAATTTTTTTATTTAATATAATATCTCCTAGTAGTCCATGATAGCAATAGATGTGATAAAAAAAATAATTATTCCTTCACCTATAATAGTTTTTATCTATGATAAATAATGTATTATTTTATTGAATTAATCTACTATTATAAATATAAAATCATTAGAGCTTGAAATTGAAAGATTTTTTTATAAAATCTATAAAAACATAAAATCATGATTTTTTTCTATAGATAATGGCTAAAAAAGTCTATAAGGTTTATGACAAAGAATTTTTACTCTTGAAAAAATATTACACAATTATACACATTCTTTAATTTACTTTCATATTTAATGGTACATAAAATTTCTTGAGATAAACTTCAATGTCTTATATCCAAAACGTCATACATTTAAAAATTTGTGATAAGCTTGAAGAACTTGTAAGTATATCTACCTTTTGAAATACATAAGCATCTTTTAAAATAAAAAAATATTATCTTTAAATTCAAATTTAAAAATATCATAATATTTGAAAGGATTATTTTTAATATCATATATAAAAAGATTTGAAGACATATTTGAATGAACTTACTTAAAAAAGATTGAATTATTAGTCAATATTAATTTTATTGTTCAAACATGAAATTTCTTTGGCTTCAAAATATATGATTATTATTAATCCTAAATCATATATTTTTACTTTTGGTATGAGATAATAAAGTATTCAATAAACTTTATTGTTTTTTTAGCCAATAAGTAATATTTAATACAAATTTCAATAATAACGTACTCTAAGTGATTAGCAATAATTTAAAAGACATGTTGACATAAAACACTTAAGACTCTTCTGATTTATATGAACATTTATTAGATTAGAAGCATCTTCTAAATTATAGCACTATTCTTGATATAAATCCATAATTATAAGATATTATTTTTTTTAGATCTTATAATTATTTTCAATTGCTGAAAATTTTCTTAAATGAAAAGCTGTACAGTGAAGTTTTTCATTTGCTTGTACTTATAGCCACATTATATTCTAATCAAAGTTGATGTATCTATCTATATATAAAATATTTAAAAAAATTCAACTCAATACAAAATTGGTCATAGATTTAAAACTATCTTCAAAACCTTCAAATGTTGCTTCAATTTCTATATATATTTCTATATATATATATATATATGTATAAATATTTCTATATATATATATATATATATATATATAATCTGATAATCCTTATATTGATTTAAAATTTATATGAAGTTATTTAGTTATTAAAAATAAATGTGGCATATCTAAGAAAAAAAAAAACTCCTTTTGCAATATGCATAAAAGTTCTTGCTTCTAAAAATAAAGATTTATTATATTAGGCTGATGTTTTATTTTATGATTAGTAATTTATTTGATTATACTATGGAAATAATAAAGATAATAAGAAATATATCTATCAAAAGATTATATTCTTTTAGTTATAATAAGCTTAAAATGATGAGGTTAAAAAAAGATTTAATAATATTAAATACTACTAAGTTATTATGACCATTTTTTGTTACATCCAAAAATTGGTTTTATAGATAACATCTTATTATAGAAATATATATTTATCTAAATTAAAGAAATAAGATAGAAGTAAATAAAAATAATTAGATTTAATAATATCTTATGAAAAACCTATTTGGATGCTTCATAAATGTGGATTTAATTTTACATATGTTTGTAGGTGATTGATAGATTGAAAACTTAGCCAATAAATTAGCCACATATTGTATATATTGATAATTTGTTATGTAAGTCAGTCACATGGTGCACAAGTAAGAAACTTATTGTATAAATTAGATATATATTGGAGGTCCTATAAAACATTTCCATGTAGCCCTTAATAAGATAGTATAAATAGAGACAAGAATAAATATTCATATAAAGATATTATTCAATTGAAAAAAATAAATATATCAACTTCTCAACTAAATATAAAAATTCTTGCTATTAGAAGTATAAAAGAGATAGTAATCAGTATGCTAGAGAAGTTTAATAGAAAAATATCAAAATTTCAAAGATTTTTATAATAGGTCAAGTTCTACTTAAAATTGTATCTTTTGTAATAACTTGATGGATTTACTTAAGTTGGATTTGTAAATGTACTTCTATCTGAAAGTGTTTTTTTTTGGTTTATATCTTTAATGGACAATGATTCATTACTCTTTTAAGATCTAAATTCATTCTTGGAAGTATTTACAACCATATTTGGAAAAAGTTCTTAAGAAAGAATAACAAAGATCAAA